TGTGAATCCGTCATTATCTGTAAACATATTGAATGTGTTACTTGATGTGGCATCTGTATCCAACTTGATTACCTTATCCGTGTACCTGCTAGTTGCAGCAGCAACAGCAGCAGCAGAAACAGAAACAGAAACATCAGTCAAACACTCAGAGGCCCATAGTTAAGAGGATTCCTGCATTTGAAGATAATATGTTGAATGGCAATTCAGACAAAGTTCCCGTAACAGCAGCTCCCAGATCCAAAATTCCCGAAAAATGCAGATAAATAAATACATTAAAAGTACAGCGATGTTAAGCAATGAATTTATATATAGGCTTATTAATGTAAACTATATACTATATACTTATATATTCATAACTACAAAAGAGAAACGAAAACAAACCTAAACAACAAGGAAGCAAAAACGGAAAGCAAAGTATCTGGCCATTGTGCGCCTCCCTGGGGCTCGCACAGTGGAGCAAACCACATGGACTAGCTATCATTTTACTTTTCCTTTGGCCCGTGCGCCGAGCTTACAAAATTCGCTGCAAATTGTTCGATTTTTGGTTCTCTTCCTATCGACTAAGTGCGCATTACAAATTTGTCTAACAAAATATTAAGGAAAATCAAAAAGTAAGAAGGAAAATTATAATAATAATGAACAGAAACGAAACGTAACGAAAACCTATATTGTAAGCGTAAAGCAGTTCAACTCTGTGTGTGTATTTTATTTATTATTTATCTATAAATATAAATATATGTTCTTTTTGTCATTGTTTAATTAATTTATTGCTTACATTGTATTTATAAAACGCAAAACAATTAATACCTAACAACTATTTTTTGTCATTATACTCGGTTTAAGTGGCAAAATACGGTTAACGTGTTAATGGGCATTTAACGATTGGGGCTTGTTTTTCATTGCCTAAACTTTACCTAGAAAAACTCCAACCTAACTTAACTTGCCTCACACACAAACATGAAAATGAACGATAAATAAATGAATATACAATTAACGAATTTTGAAAGCATTACTTCGAGTTCTTGAAACACCAATTTTTGTGCATATTTAGTTTATAAATAAGAAACGGAATTCGTTAAGCATATAGAATTGGCGAGCAAGCGAATGATAATATATGTGAAAATATATATTAGTATATACAGAAGGAACGAGAGAAAAACTAATTTTTTAATCGTCGTAACTTATTAGATTATAGTGCCTTTTTTGCCTCCCAAAAAGAATTCACAAACGATAACGAGCATGTAAACTAACAAATGGTTTATATATACAGATCATATACACATATACATATACAGCTAACGAAGCTAATTATGAAGAAAGAGTACTGCGTTTATTTTGTAACAATTAATAGAGTATTATAAACCTATTTCATTTCAAAAAGAATTTAAATTCATTTCAAAATTGTTATTCCTCCCAGAATTGTAAGCATATTTGTAGTAGATTTCAACTGATTTGAGCTATCTGGCTAAATACTTCCCATACTGAAACGAAATTAGAAGCTTTAAAAGGATAGGGATAACTTGTTGATGTTCCATAGTCAAATAAAGTGATTTCTTTTTGTTTTGTCAAGAGTACGTTGTGGTTTTAAATCTATACGCATCGAAGAAGAATGCTGGCGGCAAACAAGTCAATTAATTGCATTACAAGTAAACCGATTAAGAAATGATTGAAAAAGTTTGAAAAACTGAAACTGTGGAGCGATCTAGCATTTTAGCTTTGAGCTGTTGTCTTAACACTGCTATTTGTTGTTATTCCGGATTATTAGCAAAACGCATTTCCCAATTATCAATTATCAATTATCAGTTTCGTGTGTGTGGGGTATGCAAATGTGTGTGTGTGTGTGAGAGCTGCATTCGCATACTAGTTTTCGTAATAATACACACACACGCAAAGATACGAGAATTTATATATATGTAAATATATATATATGAACAATTAAATAAATAAAAGTAACGAAATATACAAAGTACTACAGTGAGAAAGCCATGCGAAAAAGTGTAGAGAGAGAGAGAGAAAAAGCAATACGAAAACACAAACGTATAACAGATAAATATATTTATTATTAAAAATCAAATAAAAATTAATTAAAACTTAACGCAAAGGTGCAGTGTATCTTTATTAAAGGTGGTATTGGAATTACTGGAAGATTTGTGCTATTATACGTGCCATTTGCCATAGAAACGGTTTGATTTTAAAAACATTGCGCTTTCACTAGCTTTCAAGGACCGAAAACGCATCAAGCTTTTCCAAGCCTGCTCTTGGTTTTGATCCCACATAGAACTTGCTACTTGCGTAACTATTGTTCAAACCAGAGCTTCAGAAAGCCGCCAGCTTCCAGGCTCTATTACCATAGCTTTTCTTAACCACTTACTCCGAAAAGCTTTCTGTGGCCAAGCACTTGCTTCTACATGCCATGTTAACCAACAGCTAAAAGCCCATAGAATGTGGCTAGCTGAGTGGGTGGTGGGTGGTGGGGTGCCCCGCCCACTACCCCAGTGGGCTGCTGAAAGGGGCGTTAAGACTTGTGGACAGCTCCATGCTGATTGCCAGAGGGACAAGCCATGTTAGCAGCTAGGTGGCTTAATGCTTGGCTCGAACAGCCAAATATCTTGGACCTCCTGCTGGGAACTGCGTCTGCCATTCGCCTGTTTCCCAACTAAAAACAGAAGGAAACACTCCCCACCCCACCGCCATGCTGAGAGTGAAAACAAGCGGGAATTGTTGTGATATTTTATGTTAAACATTTATTTCATTAAATTCTCAGATGTTCCAGAGCGGCCTGTCTGCCCCCAGAGTCCATCGCACAGTATCTATGGAGATGGAAGGAGTTCCACCCACTGCCTGCTGCTGACCATGGCCAGGATTTATCATCAATCAATTGAGTGTGATATCTGCGGTATCTGGAGCTCCGGAGACATATAGGACAATGGAATCGAATGTATAGAGGGGGAACCAAAATGTGTTGGGAATTCTTGGCTGTGATTAGAGTCCAGCTCTTAAAGTAATGGGTATGCGGTTGCGGATCGAAAGTCTTAATTCTAAATAGCCATCGATACAGTGTATACATATATGATTGTATATAGGGTTATGTATTCATTTTAGTGTATTCATAGAAATGCATCACATTTAAGTTTATTTTTTCGCCTTTTGCGTTAGTGTAGCGTTTTTTGTTTTTGGTTTCGAAAATCAAGTAGTAGCTTGGCTTGTCAAAGCAACGCCCACATAAATATATAGTTTTATTTGGATTTAAATGTCTATATCGATCAGGATGTCGATCTGCACAAAGATGCGTAAGCCGAGCATAGCGATTACCTAATCGTGTTACATTCATAAATTCATCATTATTCAGTGTGTTTCAATGTTGCACATTAACTGTAGACACATATACACATAAATACTATTAATATTGTTGTCAGTTTTCCATTTTCAATACCCCTTCTGATTATTGTAGAATGCATGTTCATATGGGTTTTCCGTACAGCTAACATTAAAAATCTTCGATATCGTAGGTTCTCATTTCTTGGTGGTTTGGTTTAAGTTTATTCCTTTCAAACAGGATGTTTCCACAATTCATTCAAAACTCTTTACGTATCTGGATCACCATTCAGATCATCATTCAGATATTCTAGGTGTCTCAATACATTTAAAAAACTATAGCTATAGTGTCGATCATTCGTGGGTGTTTTACCTAACAGTTCGGAACTTTGTCGTTAAGTTTAGCTCTTCAATAATTTTATAGAATCACCTTTGCAAGTGACAGCTGTCTGCTTAATTCACCTAATTTGACCATAGATTTTTAATCAAAACATTGCGACAATAATACATTGACGTTGGCAACAAAAGCCAGAAAATCCACAGATATGTGTTGTGTTTGTCATTTTGTATTTTTTGGTTGGTTGGTTGTTTGCTTGTTTGCTTGTTTGCTTGTTTGGTTGGTTATTTGTAAATACTTTTTGTCAGCTTGAAACCGCAACGAGATTATTACACCAAATTTTAGTGTGTGCTTGCCTTTGCCTTTGGCCTCTGTAATATTTCCTTGTCGTTTTGTAAATACACATCAAACATTTAATATTCAGTAAATACATGATTATTTAGATAGTAAATATCCCTAATGGTGACATCTCTTGCGATTTGAAAAATGGGCTTTCAATTGGCATTTTCGTGTTTTTTATTTATTTTTTTTGTAAATGAATGCTTAATTGCATATAGATTTATTTGAACCACACTCACTTACGATCTAGGTAAATATATATGTTTTGACTTTGCATTTGGGTTGGCTTGCCTTCCAATTTCAATACTGTTGATGCCGTTTTATATAGCTACACTATCCTGCCAAATCCACGCAAAATATCATCAATTTCAACGCATTGCATGGCTAATATCAAATAATAAATCTTAACTATATCCACGACTACTCAATTTCAACTCCTTCGTCGCAACTCGTCCACTTCCATTTTAATCAAACTGCAAAAATTTCACCTCAATTCATTGTCTAATTCCTAGGGAATACCGTTGCCTTCTAGTTCATTTTTGGATTTCTTTCTCTCCGATTTTGGAAACCATCTACTTTTTAATACCTATAGACTTCTTTCAAATCCCCACCCTTTATAATGGGCGCACCTATCTTCTAACTCCTGACACTTGACTGCTGAAACCGAAACTGAATCGTTTTTTCTTTAAAATTTACAGTGGCCGCAACTACGAGAGTCGGTGCTTATACTATAAAAACGTTTTAAAACATTGGAAGCAGCTTAAGTCGAAAACTTTTTATTTTTTTAACGCTGCTTAATCGAAAAAGCTACAAAGATGTAGGAGTCTTATTAAACGACTTTAAACCTGTCATTTTAAACGTACGTTGTACTATTTGTCACAAAATTGATAGTTCCTGGACGTTTGAATGGTATTGCTAAAGAACAAAATTGTTTAAAATGCTTGAATAAATAGAACAGGAAACTGCTTGAAAAAATAAGACCAAAGTATAAATAATTATATATTTTTTCGATTTTAGAACGACGAAAACTGTGTTGTTCAATCGATTTTCGCGTTCTGGGAAATAGTAATTGGTCTTCGGCACTATTACCCTGTACTAGCACTTGGGGAATCCGGCATTACGGCTTCCTCTTGCGTTTGGCAAACATCTGCGACCACAATCAGAATCACACATTCGACGACTTGGGGACCGCACCGGTCTCGGCACCGGGGGCGTGGCTCACCTGCTCCTGCTGCGACCGCTCCTCGCGCTGCACTTCGTCGCGGTCCGGCGACACCTGCTCCAAGTGAATCTGGACGATGTGGTCCTCCTCCTCGGGCATCGGACCGTGCTCCTCGTGCTCCTCTAGGTCGCGGGCCAAGGTCTCGCTGCGCTGCAAGCGCCGCTTGTGTGAGCCGTTCCTTGGCACCGGCACCCTGATGTTGAACTCATCGTCCAGGCTCTCGATCATGTCCAGATGTCCGGCTGACTGGCCAACGGCTTGAGAGGCCGACTTTGCAGCAGCGGCTGCGGCGGCAGCAGCCGCACTGGTGGAAGGTCCATCTCCGATCTCTGCGAAAGTGGGCTGTGCCTGTCGTCGTGCGTTTCGCTTGCCCACGGGTGCATCCTGCAGGGCCAGACGCTCCATCTCCATTCGCAGCTCGCCCAACGTAGCGGAGGCAAAGCCCGGACGCTGTGTCTCATCCACGTGGACCAGGACGAAGGGCAGCTTCAGGGACAACTCGCCACCCATGCCGCTCAGGGTTAACTTCACCTTGACATAGTAGGACACATAGATGGCGAACACGTTGCGCTCCTCATTGCCGCCGGCGGAGTTGGGATTACCCGGCTGACCCTGACCTTGCGAGCAGCCCGGCTGCCACAGGTGTGGATGTGGCGTTACCAAGGCCGGACTGCCAAGTGGGTGGCCGCAACCGCCCAACAGCTGGGCGTTCTGCATCACAAAGTGAGGCGAGCGGATGGCCGACGCAGCGATGGCGCCGGTGATCTCCTCCGGCTCGGTGCTGCGCTGCAAGGTGTCCTCCAGGGCGATCCAGTTCTTGGTGGGACCGCGTTGCGGACGCAGCGTCACCGTGGTGTTCAGCGAGGCTCCAGCGGCCACTGTGCGATCCACCGGCGGTGTCACATTATCCGAATCAGCCACCACATTCTTAAACTTGCCGTTGTTGAACATGCAGACGTCGACGTGCTGGATGGCGCAGACCTGTTCAGGTGAAGACCCAAAAGAAAATCCAGAAAATATATACATTTTAGGATGGCAAGCGAGTGAAATTGGAGCAGAATGGTTAAGTGACTGGAGAAGACAATTTCCGCGGGTTACGCACTCTACGCACTCTATTCAAATCAGTCAAATGTGCCCCAATCTTTCCGGATAATACCATTAATTTACTGCACCAACGTTTCCCAGCAGAGTATTGTCTAGTCAGCCATATTCCATTAGTTAACCTCTTGACATCTGTTTGTTTTTTTGGACAAACCCAAGCGAAGCTCAGCGTTATTTTATGGCCGCGGACAAAATGTCCCTGGTCGAAATCTCCCAGCCAATCTGAGATAATGCACTCAATTACCGTCCGTTCAAGTGGCCGCGTAAGAATGACCATGTGGGTAAATGGAAAAAACGTTCAGGGGGGGAAAAAATCCGGGAAATGGCTAAAATAATAAATTAAGCCCAGGCCTGGCTGGATTCACATATTGGCAGCTCATCAGTGTCGATTTCCCGTTGCGAGATTTGGACTTAATTTATTTTCTTCCTATTCCCTTAAGTGGCCAAAAAACAAGTGCTCCCATTTTGGGACATCGTAGTGATATAAAATTGGCACACGATACTCAGTTTTTTCACAGAATTTTGATTTCAGTGAGACACTTTCTAATATTAAATAATATCACACAACCGCCATGTTGGCCAAACAGGAATTAATTAAGTAAAAAACAGCAAGAAGTAGCAAATTTAGGGTCTTAACTTTATAACTCAGCGCAACTTATGTATATACTTGAATATTGGGGCATATTGGTTTGTTTTTCGTATTCAAGAGTTTGCGAAAACCGCACTCGCACTCGCGCCAATCGAAATGAGCAATCAAAATCTACCATCGAGTCGTTCAGTTCACAGTTTTCAATTCCGTACAGCATTTAAATGGTCGTCAACTGAGTCGCCGTCTCCCTTTGTGCGACTGCCAGGCGACTTTCAATTGGCTGTGGGGCCAAAGGACATTCGTACGCCTAAGGACTTGTTGCTGGCACCCAGCTCCGCCACCCGCTCCGCCGCCCGCTCCGCAGCGACGATGGAAATTGGGGAACAGATGTCCAAGTTGCCCAACAACTCAAGGTAACTTTTGACATTTGCTGCCTGACTTTGGTTGGCTACAAAAAAGAAAACAGAAAGTACAAAGCAATCTCGGCATTCAGAATAGCACACACACACAAGGAAATGTACATATTTAATAAGGCGCAAAGTGCACGATGAAAATAAAATAAATGAGCTGGAGGACGAGCAGCTCCTTCTGCCCACAAGAAATCTCGGTCTGGCATCAACATTTAGACTCTGACTTTGCCGGGGCTCAAAAAGTACGAAAGCGGCGTGAGGTGCACGGAAAAGGCCTTCAAATCAAATCAAATTATGCGATTGCATAAAGGCTGGCAGAAGCTTGTCACAAATGGACAAGGACTCTGGGTCTCAGAACGCACAGAAAGGACACAAGGACTCCCTTCGCCGCCCAAGAAGGCAGCCAAACGGAGCAAAGCGAAGCACCAATGAATTGAGAATATTATTTACTGCTTTTCACCAATGCGCTAAGCCATTTGGGAGTTGAAATTTGACAAAAACAGGAAATTTGGCCTGTCCCTTAAATTATGCACACCACATTTGCTGACCAGTTTTCCGGGTCAGAATATGTGATTTTGTAAATGCAGCTGCATTCCCCTGAGTTCGGAAAATGGCCAGCCGAAAAATATTTTATTCTCATAAACAAAAATATTTCAAGCATCCCACAAGTGCACATTTCTGCTTACTTGCTTGGAATGCATTTGAGATATTGAAGCAATCGGCCTTCTTATCCACTTTTAAAATTAACTAAAATATCAGAACTGTGAATACAATCAAATTGCAGAGATTTCTGTTCCTGTGCATCCAATGTCAGCAATCAATCAAATGTTCGCCTCTTCACATAACAGCCGATTATCCCAAATGGAAATATGCATCGGTTAACTCTTTGATTGGCTTCGTTTTGAATGCCCTGACCTTTTTTCTGACTGCTTCCAAATGTTTCGGTTTGCTATATGTGATAGGTATGCCCATATGTGCGCATATCCTTGTCATCAGTTCAGCTTTAAAATAGAGAGCAGAGTGTTCCATGTGTATGTGTCAGAACTTGTATCTGTCGACGACTGCAGTGTTCTGTTCTATTCATTATTGAACAATGTGCTGTGAAATAATGGGGCTGCAATCAAAATAAACAATACCAATTGACAGATGGCAGGCAGCGCGCAGCAGGATAGAACATATTGAATTTCATTCTAAAGTCCTGAAGTACTTCTAGGATTGAGTTATACATCCCATATGCATTTTGCAGTAGCCTCGAGTTCCATTTTCTTGTGTTTGCATGCATTCAACTCTGTCGAACGCGTGAGAGTAAGGATTGCTCCATTTAAGGCCCCATGTCGTATGCGTAATATCTGCCACGTAATTAAATGGCGCTTCAACCTGATTTTTTCCTTCCTCCTTCAATTTGCTGCCATAAAATTACTGATTATTTTTTTACAAAAACATAAATAAAAATTAATTAAATATAGTCTTTTCAAACGGTGTTTTCGCCATAACTTGGCCAAAAAAGGAGACACGAATAAAATGAAGACTGTTTTGTGCTGCTAATAAACATAGCTAACTATGCCTATCAATACTTTTATGATTTTCGAAAAAATAAATTTTAACAAAATTTCGCATTTTCGATAAGGGGTACCCCCATCAAAATTTGCGAAAAATGGCAAAAAATTAGAATTTACTTTTTTGAATACACGTCGATGAGAAATTTTGTTACGAATTCAACGGGGTATGACATTCTAGGTTTGGACAACTATTTTTATTGCTATCGCAAAAAAACCGATTATTTTTATCAAAAAATAATCATAAAAAAAATTTTGTCAAAAATCGGATATTTTCAAACTGGGTTTTCGCCATAACTTAGCCAAAAAAGAAGGCACAGCTAAAATGAAGACAGTTTTGTGCTGCTAATAAACATAGCTAACTATGCCTATCACTACTTTTATGATTTTCGAAAAAATAAATTTTAACAAAATTTCGCATTTTCGATAAGGGGTACCCCCATCAAAATTTGCGAAAAATGGCAAAAAATTAGAATTTACTTTTTTGAATACACGTCGATGGGAAATTTTGTTACGAATTCAACGGGGTATGACATTCTAGGTTTGGACAACTATTTTTATTGCTATCGCAAAAAAACCGATTATTTTTATCAAAAAATAATCATAAAAAAAATTTTGTCAAAAATCGGATATTTTCAAACTGGGTTTTCGCCATAACTTAGCCAAAAAAGAAGGCACAGCTAAAATGAAGACAGTTTTGTGCTGCTAATAAACATAGCTAACTATGCCTATCACTACTTTTATGATTTTCGAAAAAATAAATTTTAACAAAATTTCGCATTTTCGATAAGGGGTACCCCCATCAAAATTTGCGAAAAATGGCAAAAAATTAGAATTTACTTTTTTGAATACACGTCGATGGGAAATTTTGTTACGAATTCAACGGGGTATGACATTCTAGGTTTGGACAACTATTTTTATTGCTATCGCAAAAAAACCGATTATTTTTATCAAAAAATAATCATAAAAAAAATTTTGTTAAAAATCGGATATTTTCAAACTGGGTTTTCGCCATAACTTAGCCAAAAAAGAAGGCACAGCTAAAATGAAGACAGTTTTGTGCTGCTAATAAACATAGCTAACTATGCCTATCACTACTTTTATGATTTTCGAAAAAATAAATTTTAACAAAATTTCGCATTTTCGATAAGGGGTACCCCCATCAAAATTTGCGAAAAATGGCAAAAAATTAGAATTTACTTTTTTGAATACACGTCGATGGGAAATTTTGTTACGAATTCAACGGGGTATGACATTCTAGGTTTAGACAACTATTTTTATTGCTATCGCAAAAAAACCGATTATTTTTATCAAAAAATAATCATAAAAAAAATTTTGTCAAAAATCGGATATTTTCAAACTGGGTTTTCGCCATAACTTAGTCAAAAAAGAAGGCACAGCTAAAATGAAGACAGTTTTGTGCTGCTAATAAACATAGCTAACTATGCCTATCACTACTTTTATGATTTTCGAAAAAATAAATTTTAACAAAATTTCGCATTTTCGATAAGGGGTACCCCCATCAAAATTTGCGAAAAATGGCAAAAAATTAGAATTTACTTTTTTGAATACACGTCGATGGGAAATTTTGTTACGAATTCAACGGGGTATGACATTCTAGGTTTGGACAACTATTTTTATTGCTATCGCAAAAAAACCGATTATTTTTATCAAAAAATAATCATAAAAAAAATTTTGTCAAAAATCGGATATTTTCAAACTGGGTTTTCGCCATAACTTAGCCAAAAAAGAAGGCACAGCTAAAATGAAGACAGTTTTGTGCTGCTAATAAACATAGCTAACTATGCCTATCACTACTTTTATGATTTTCGAAAAAATAAATTTTAACAAAATTTCGCATTTTCGATAAGGGGTACCCCCATCAAAATTTGCGAAAAATGGCAAAAAATTAGAATTTACTTTTTTGAATACACGTCGATGGGAAATTTTGTTACGAATTCAACGGGGTATGACATTCTAGGTTTGGACAACTATTTTTATTGCTATCGCAAAAAAACCGATTATTTTTATCAAAAAATAATCATAAAAAAAATTTTGTCAAAAATCGGATATTTTCAAACTGGGTTTTCGCCATAACTTAGCCAAAAAAGAAGGCACAGCTAAAATGAAGACAGTTTTGTGCTGCTAATAAACATAGCTAACTATGCCTATCACTACTTTTATGATTTTCGAAAAAATAAATTTTAACAAAATTTCGCATTTTCGATAAGGGGTACCCCCATCAAAATTTGCGAAAAATGGCAAAAAATTAGAATTTACTTTTTTGAATACACGTCGATGGGAAATTTTGTTACGAATTCAACG